ACCTCTCCTTATCTAGCAAATTCTCTCATTCAGGCCTGGTCAGGCTCCCAACAGACCCAGTCCAAGGAGGTCCCCTGCCTCCAGTCTTCAAGCTCACCACTTGTTGCCAGCTCCCTGGGCAACCCAGGCACTGACTCCTGCCATGGTGCTTTGGCCTCATGCTCCTGAGCGCTGCCACAAGGCTCCAGCCTCCGACCTGCTCGCCCCTAGCTGATGCTGTGAGGCTCCAGCCCCAGCCTCACTTGCTATGGGCTGCCATGGGGCTTTAGCCTTTGCCCCATGCTCCTAAGGGCTGCCAATGGACTCCGGCCTTGCTTGGACTCCTATTGCTTCCAGTCCTGCTGGCCCTCCTGCCGTTAGGCTCCTGGAGACTCTGGTCCAGATGCATCTGTGGTCCTGTCAGACTACAGATGTTGCTGGACCAGAGAGTGCTGGTTTTTCAGAGGTGCCACCTGTACTATTAAACTGATGCCCCTGTGCCCAATGGCGGCCTGGGTTAGGGGGGATGATGATTTTTTTAGGGATGTAATTTGGTAATTTTCAGAAACAAACTAATCAAAGATTTTTAAAGCAAATTTTAAATGACGGTACTGGAATTTAGAAACTGACAGCATATACTTGGAGTGGACAAATGCCTGTCAAGTGGCTTCCTTAACACTTGAATGACTTTTTCACAGGTTCAATGTTCTGCTAATAGGTCTAGTAGGCTTTTTCACTTTTAAGTTAATTAAATCCATTCTTGAGGAAATAGAGCTCCAGAACAGGGATAGGAAGAGGTGAGTGGATGGAATGGTACCCCAGCTTTTCAAGTGTCCTACATGACTACAGATCCTGTATATGACTAAGGATGGCTCTGGTAGAATATTGGCGCAGAGTGAGATACTTATGACCCTCTGGAACACTGAGGTTTTTTGCCCCACCTTTCATACCAGAACCATATCGATTTCTCTGCCAAAGAGGAAATATTGACCTTTGTAGGAATAAATCACTTTAAATATCCTTAAAATTGTACTTTGATGCCAACTACCATATCTCCCTGGAGTCTTCCAAAGACCAGCAATAAAAAAACAAGTTTTCTGTGTTCCTTTTTATTAGTTCGAGTATCTGAGTTTAACAACAACCATCCCCTTTTTAAAATGAGGTATATTTTCATGGATCTTGTGACCTTCAGTATGATGTGGTGCAATGTAAGCTGACACATCACACTTGAAATTGAAATAATATGAAACAACACCACAATGTGAGTGAACTATCTTGATGTGGTGTAACATAGATAATGTGGTCGATATAATAGATATCTACATCAGCAAGCTTCCCTGACTAATAGAATTTCCCCTATTTCAGCATGATCGATCAGTTTGTCTATGATATTTCTTGGCACCCATTGCCCTAGAATTTGAGCCTTAGAACAACATGTCTATTGAAATTAGATGCTTAACAAAAATAGAATTAGCATTAATTATTGGGAGAATCTGAGAAATTGAAACATTCTTTAATTTTAGTTTAGAAACCTAGTCAGTACAGGTATAAATGATGAAGCTATAATTTCTATGGACTACATTGCAATTCCTTTACTCATGCTGCAAACTTTACTCTTTAACTAGTCCATCTGATGCCTATAAAGCTACTCAAGGAGTAAAGTACCTATGCATAAAAGAAGTGAGTAAGGATATCCCAATCTAAACCTAAGATGGTTGTTGTGTTTCTATTTCTGCCACCAACAGTAAAATGCACACTGCTATAATTAAAGAGTAGAGATTATGTGAAATTCGTTTTGAATAATATATGAATCAATCAGACATACTTAATAGTATTTAAAAATAAAGATAAATACAACAGGTGAAGGTATTTGCTTAGAGCATCCCCTTTTGTGCTGAGTAGAGGAGATTTGGGAAATGTAGCTTTGTGATAATCTTTATGCAGTGTCTTTTTCAAAGGCAGAGTTTTCTTTCTGAGGTAATTGCTGCGGTTGTTCTGAAATCTCAAAATAACTCAGCAGAGTTCTCAAATATATACCATAGGTCACCTACATTGGCTCTATGCTCTCCCAGCTGCCTGCCCATGATCTGCATGGATCCACTCAGACACTTCTTCCTCATATCTGATCGCTTCAGGGTTTTTTAATCAAAGTATTACAGTTCCTTGGCTTATTTCTAGCCTCACCATCACTTCTTTCTTTCTCCCACCCTTGCCAGTTCTCTTGAGAACAGAGAGCCTGAATGATGTGCAGGGGCAATACCAGGAAGTCTGATCGCATAACTTAATGTAAAATAAATTACTTAAATGGCTAATTCAGTTGTGAATCCTTATCCTTCTTAATTAGGAGATTGGAGCCACTCAGAAGGCTTCAAGTTAGAACTATACTTAGGCCACAACCTGTAGTGGTAGTTGAGAATAAACATGAGTAAATGGAGTTTATTCCACTTCTAATTTTGGGCATATGGAATTTTGGTTACGTTAGTTTATCACATTCTTCAACACCAAAGTTGTAGCTGCTTTGCTAGCTCTTCTGCAAGAGCAGAGGCCCCCAGAAAATTCCTGTTGACTTGACTAGGACTCTACAAGAGCATAAGTATTTGCCATGCAGATTGTGTTGTAGCATTAAGGGCCTATTCCATAAATTTTATAGAGGGACAGATCAAACTCCTCTTAAGGTTAATGAAAAGGCTCTCTGACTTCAAATGGAATCCAATTGGGGCCATATGACATCTAGCAAAGAACTGTTATTTACAATACTGATTAGCAATTTAAAAAAAACAGCAAAAGCTGTTTGACAAAAGGAAAAGAAAGGTGAACTAGCTTTGAAAGAAAGAAATTAGCTTTCTTTTATCTACAATTAATATTAAGATAATATCAAATCACTCAGAAACATGATCTGTAATGGTAATAAATTTATATCGTAATACAAACTGTGTGTAAACATAATAATGTTGGTGTTACTTTTTTAAATACTTTTTTATGTTTAATTATGACATGATGCTGGTGATTCCAAGAATTTTCTATTAACATATTATAACAAGTTATAAAGCTCAGAAATTGTCTGGATCATTGTTAAAATGTGAATCTTTTACAACACTTTAAAAAGTCCAGTTAGATCACAATGGGAGTTTGCCCTAATTTGTAGTTTTAAAATATCTTTGGCCTGAGTTGTTAGTTGCTAATCTTTGTTTGTGAGAAACTAGAGTAGTATTTGCATTTCTAACAGTTGTATCTAATATAACTCCTAGAAAACAATCCAAAAAATCATGGATAATAATAAATCTAACATACTGATAGATTTTTAATTCGGATTCTGATTATGAAATCAGGACATTCTGTGGTTCAGATAAGCATGCAAATGCAGATGTTTTTCCAGTTCTTATCCAGGCTTATCTATTAAAGCTTAGGTAAGGAAACTGGGCCACAAATCTTGTGATAGCTTTTTTGTGAGTTTTTTTTTCTTTTATATTTTTGAGTTGCACTTAGGTCAGAAGTACCACCTGCTTTGTCTCCTTCACACAATTTAAGTTCTGCTGCCAATTTTAGTCTAGAAGGCATAGGAGCCTGAAAGCAGAAGATTGGAGATGAAAAGCTAAATTAACTTTTTAAACTCTTCTGGAAGTTCTAATAGTCATTGTTTGGTTGACGGTTTGCATTGCTTTTTATTTTCACTGAACCAGATAGCCTCTTAATATTGTACAGTAATTTAGGGTGGGTGGGCATGGATGAGAACCTATCCAAGGTTGTATATTATTATACCCTCTTTGCTATTGTTTTTAGCTCTTTTAATCTCTCTATTCTCTCCTTCCTAATACCTAACCTTCTCCATATTTTTTTTGTACTTTTATTATGCATGGAGCTAAATATTAGCATTGCTAAGAATAGGCTAACACATTCGTTGCATAATATCTTCACTCTTACCCACCAATCTAGGACTATTTAATTTACACCTTGGAGGGAAGGAAAAGGAAGTGCATATTTATTTCTGAAAAGTTCAACACCTATTTGCCACGATCTCCACTTAGCCATTTTTCTGTGGCTAAACATGTAGGAGCTCATCCTACAATAAACTTAGACCTGGTCTATACTGGAGAATTTAAGTTGACTTAACTACCTTATACAGTGGGTGTGAAAAATTCATACCTTTGAGTGGCATAATCCCTAATGAAGCCAGCACTATGTCAATGGAAAAATTCTTCTGCAGAACTAGCTACTACCTCTTAGTAGCTGGGCATTAGGAAAAACTTCCTAACTGTCAGGATATGTGGAATCTCCATGAATGGAGATATTTAAAAAATGTCAAGGATGGTCTAGTTGGAAATTAGTCCTGCCATGAGTGCAGTGACTCAATGTCCTATCAAGGTTCCTTCCAGATCCAGTATTCTGTGATTCTATGAAGACAAAAAATAGAGACAGTATCTATGCCCTTATAATATGAAAGGTATTTTACAATACCATGGCCAAAGAATCTCTTTGAAATGACAATATTTCAATGAACCCATTCATTATAAAATCCTCAGTACACAGAGGATTAACAGTACCCAATTATCATGCAGGATTTTATAAGGCCCTCTAAATACCTGTAAATCAATTGCTCACGTTTTAATACCAAATTTAAATATGGCTTCAGAATAAAATACTTCTGAAAGATGATGTCTACATCAAATTATGTTAACCATAAACACAATAATTTTAATAGACATATGTGTCGGCCAGGGGGATAGGCCTGCTCACAATCAATTGCAGAACTGAGGACTATGTGAAATTCTAATCTGCCAACTAGTTATATTTGTGTTCCCTGTAATGAAATCCCAGCAGTCAGTGTAAAAATAGTGACATAAGAGATAATATAATTGTAAGATTAATCTTTTTGGCTTCTTTCCCAGTAATAGAGTTGCCATATGGTCATCTCTAGGGTTAATGATATGCTATATACACCTCTCTCTGATACTTTATATTTGTAATATTATGGTTCTGTAACTGTATTAAGACATGTCACATTTCTGTTCCATATAACACAGATGACAATATGCTGCATGGGCCAGTTTTCATTCAGGAACCAAATAGTATGATTTTTCCACTGGATTCTGAGGAAAATAAAGTAAAGTTGAACTGTGAAGTAAAAGGAAATCCTAAACCAACAATCAGGTTTGTTATGTATTTTGCTATTCTTTAGCATAGTCTGTCCATGATAGTGTCTACCCAAGGCACGCATCTGTATGCATCTCACACAGAGAAGTTCTTTTAAAAATTGGGGTATGATGTATTTGCTGATGTGTTTCGCTTTTGAATTTATAAAATTGATTACTCTGGCTTAGCACTTTTAAAACCCATGGAACACACTAAACACAATAAATGAGTTAATTGCATCCTATTCGTATATTGTTAAGGCTTCTTAAGAGTTGCTTTGATCCATTAAATGAGATTTTTGTGATTAAAATCTTTATTGCAATACACTGAATTTGTCTAAAATCCCCTAAACTTTAATGTTTAAAAACTGGTTTTGACACCTTTCTCCCTCCCTCCCCCCCCCAAGAAAAAATTGCACAGTAGCGCTGTGTGCAAATGAGCAGTGTGATGTCAAACTTTCTGGGCACAATCATGATCATTTCTGAGCAAATTATCTGCATGTAGAACTGAGAATCTGTTCCTTAAGCTCCGTGTGCTCCCCTGTCTTAAAAAGATGTAAAATTTCAATAATGCTATTGGCTTTATAAAGTACTTTGAGAACCCTGGATGAAAGACGCTACAAAATGTAGTGGTGCTGTTGTTATTGTACACAATTCATCTTGTTCTAACAAATTTAACCTGGTGTTCTCCTTCTTATCCCTCCACCCTTTCTCCCCCCATCACAATTTTGCTCTCTAGTATAAATGCCACTTTGAAACAGATTCAAATCATAAGACCCCAATCCTGTTGCTGTCTTCTAGCAATACTTGGCATTTAATGTAGTAGAGTTGAGTGATTCACTCATACAAATATATTCAAATGTCTTCCCTGTAGGTTCTAATAGAGGGAACTGATCTGAGGATCTAACCCTTTATATGTTCCATCATGGGCTGCTAGAGATGGCAGCTGTATTTGGGGAGCTGTGCTGTTAGAAAATCTTGATACTCCCGTTTGTTAAAACATCTGCTGTGAGTGAGTTTTCTTAAATGTAAAAACAAACAACTAAGACAGAAAAAGAAAAAAAGCTACTATGGAATTGAGTGGTTCAAAAATACTTTGGGGGCTTCCCCTTGCAAAATGATTAATTCAAAAAACTAACAACATCAATAACAACCGCAAAAACAATAAGAACATTAATCATATCAGTGACTGAAATATATGTTAACGATGTTGCTCTAAAAGTGAAATATTAGAATGTTTCAATGCTGTGCAGGAAACATTCATTTTCATGCTGGTTTTAAATATAAGAAATCAAATGGATTTAAATGTTTTCTGTATTTACTACACGTTGCTTTAGAAATGCACAGAAACACTGGTTTATGTTAGCAGAATTCAACTCCTGGCATTTTTGTATTCTAGGTGGAAGTTAAATGGGACCAATGTTGACGTTGGTATGGATTACCGCTACAGTGTAGTGGGAGGCAGCTTGTTGATCAATAACCCCAATAAAACCCAAGATATTGGAATGTATCAGTGCATAGCAACAAACTCATTTGGGACCATTGTTAGCAGAGAGGCAAAACTTCAGTTTGCTTGTAAGTAGCAATTATATCCCATGGCAAATACTGCATTCTTACAGCATAATGCTGGAAAACTGGTAAGGCCTAATGGCTGCCTTTAACAACAAAAAAACTCATCTAATTTGTATTCATTATTCTTTGCTTAGCTGCTTGTTTTGTTTAGAAAATAACTGGAGTGAGAAGTGGAAATGTTTTCTTTTGTGACTATTTAACTAAAGGGGCTTACCGCACATAATGGGTATACTTGCATATCTGGGAAAGACAGTGGAAGTGTGAGCATGTGGCAATACGAAACCTGCTACTAACATTTTTTTATAAATGAAAAGTAGAACTGTTCAAATGTGATTTTTTTCCTCCTCCATTGGAATACAGAGATTTTAAAGGTTCAAAGGTGCCCAAAGGGACATGCCTTTCAGAAACAGCAGTTCCATAATGACAATTTTCATCACTGTTGTGACACAAGATCCATATGGGAGGTACATACCCGACAGAGTTTTTAACTGCTGACATCCTGTGTGGGGTATGCACATACACAACATTGACATTAATGTAAAGGTGATGCACAATTCTGAGTTCATTATATGTGCTGTTTATGTATTATGTATATTGATTTATTTGAACATTTTAGAACAACCATAGTTTTTAAGGTGGCTTTATAATATTTACTCAGAGCCTAGTCAGCATTTTTGACACCTTCATGAATGAGGAAAGCTAAATAGGTTTTATGGGAGCAAACCTGCATTGTTTTAAACCAGTCAGAATTCTACATTTGAAGATAGAGTTCAGGATGAGGATCCTTTCAAATATAGACCTGAAATAATAAAGAGCTATGGCCAACCTCCTTGGCTAGCTGGCATAATAACACTGAAGGAAATCCCTCCTTCATACCTATAAGCTCTAGGGTATGTCTATACAGCCAACTAGATGCCTACAACTGGCCCATGGCAGCCAACTTGAGCTTTGGCTAAGGGGGTGTATGTGGTTGTTTCATTGCTGTGTAGACTACCTGGCTTGGGCTCAGGCCTAGGCTCTAGGATCCTGAAAAGTGGGAGGGTACCAGAGCTCGAACACCTGCCCAAAAATCCTCATAGCCATGAAACAGCCTTACAGCCCAAGCCCCATGTGTCCAAGTTGATTGGCATGGGTCAGGAGTGGGTGTCTACTTGCTGTGGAGATGGACATTCAGGCTACGTCTACACTGGCATGATTTTCTGGAAATGCTTTTAACGGAAAAGTTTTCCGTTAAAAGCATTTTCGGAAAAGCGTGTGTAGATTGGCAGGATGCTTTTCCAGAAAAGCACTTTTTGCGGAAAACAGTCCGTGGCCAATCTAGACGCGCTTTTCCGCAAAAAAGCCCAGATTGCCATTTTCGTGATCAGGGCTTTTTTGCGGAAAACACTACTGTGCTGTCTACACTGGCCCTTTTCCGGAACAGTTTTCCGGAAAAAGACTTTTGCCCGAATGGGAGCAGCATAGTTTTTCCGGAAAAGCACTGATGATTTTACATTAGATCATCAGTGCTTTTCCGGAAATTCAAGCGGCCAGTGTAGACAGCTGGCAAGTTTTTCCGGAAAAGGGGCTGATTTTCCGGAATAATTTGCCAGTGTAGAGACAGCTTCAGAGGCCTTGTGCCATGGCAGTTGCAAACTATACCTTAAGAATAATTTTCTCCATGTGCTTTTTTGTGTGTCAGGTCCTAGTGTTTCTTAGGTATAACTTACACATCAGTGGAAAGCTAGGCTTTTAATATACAGTAATACAATATGTTTAATGGACTGGCTAATGTCTACAATTAATGTGATTTTATTACTCTACTAAAAGGGGTAATATGCCAAATTTATGCCAGATTCGTGATATGCAAAAAGGTGATTTGTAATGAAAAATAGAAATGAGGGAAGGTAAAGTCTTCCCTCTCCCAGAGTAGTTCACACTTTATTATCAGTTTTTCTTATGCTCTGTTTGTATTTTCCCATGACTAAAGATGCTCTGTCACTGTAGAGGACTAACGAACAGTGTCCTCAAAACTAATCTAATAACATCAGATTTCAGTATGTCAAGGGGATTGTTTCATAAATATTATTTTGGGTCTGCATCTCTGCATATCACATGCTTCACAGCAGCTCAGATCTTGCAAATCAAGGATTTCCACTATCCATCAGGTTAAGGGTTTGCAATATCATTATTCATAGCTAAGCACTTGAAAACAGTCTGTGCTGTAATCCTGTCATTTATGGAAGTCAATAGGATCTCAGCTTCTAGCTACCTAAAGGACTAGAGCTGATGTACTAAGATAAAAGTTCAGTGATGTAAAGCAAGGTCTTGCTCCCATCAAAATCAATTGTCAGACTTCCACTGACTACTTGAATGGGAGCAGGTTGTGCCAATATTTTCATTAAGCCATTTTCCATCAGTTGACCATTAGCTGGTAATCACAAAAACAATGCTGTGTTTAAAAAAACCAACCAATCATAATATTTTATATTTATTTTCAAAGAAGGAACTTCAGTGTCTATGATGTTTATAATGAATTGATTTATCTTTCTTGACAATAATAAATCTGGACTGTAGTTGGAGTTTTGATAGATGACCAGTCGTAAGACAGGCTTGACTGATTCTTAATTTAGAGGATTGCTTTAAGAAGCAAAGTTTGTTTCTTAGCACTTAAAGTGATGATGGATGAGGGCTTGGATAAATAAATTGTTCAAATTTAGATCAATTCGATTTAATCATGTTAGGAACATTTGGCTTGGAGATGGGAAGAAAACAGGCATTTGTCAAATCAGACTCTGCTCTTTTGCATAATAGTAAGTCATTCTTCTGAGTTATATAATCAAAGAGACTGCAGACAGAACAGGCTGAATTCTGTAACTCTGACTATGGTTTAATTTTATCACACAAGCTCTGACTCTGCACAGTATAAATCTGTTTTAATAATGCATGTGTTTCAACATGGTCATTTCAAGATATGTGGATGAATTAGTGCTATTTAATACAATGAAATAAACAATAAGAGGCACTTGTTGCAGGAACTAGGAGAGACTGCAGACAGAACAGGCTGAATTCTGTAACTCTGACTATGGTTTAATTTTATCACACAAGCTCTGACTCTGCACAGTATAAATCTGTTTTAATAATGCATGTGTTTCAACATGGTCATTTCAAGATATGTGGATGAATTAGTGCTATTTAATACAATGAAATAAACAATAAGAGGCACTTGTTGCAGGAACTAGGAG